CGACTCAACAGTAACTCAAGTCAGTCTTCGTCACACCGGATCTTCAGGGTGAGCTAACGCTTCTAGCTTGGACTGGATCTTCTCCTTCATGTCTTGATGCCTTGAACTCCCGGCATGGACTAGCTTCTTATGTATTTTTAGCTTCTTAGAAACTCTTAGAATTAGTATTTTAAAGTAGATGTTCTTCTGATGATGACTTCCAGGTTTTGGGAATAATAGATGTTGAATATTGATAGTTATTGAATTGGTTTTTATTAATGAGTTTAAGTCTTCCGCATTACTTTCTGTTGATATTATATTGAAATGTTAAGGTTAGATTGGTTGGTTCACTCACATAGGAGGGTAAGTGTGGGTGCCAGTCGAGGCCCGAATTTGGGTCGTGACAAACTTGGTATCAAAGCATTTGGTTCGTTGGTCTCATCACACAAGAACAGGTCTAGTAGGGTCTTAAGGAACGGTATAGGGGGACGCCTTTACTTTTCCTTGAGAGGCTATAAGACTGTAGGAAAATTCCATTCTTTCATTCTTTCTTTCGTGCTACTACTTGAGTCCAATTGGTATCTAGGCGATACGAATTGGTATCTGACCATCTTCACTCTCTTTCGCAGATGGTTAGAACTAGAGCAACGACTACGCCAAAACCAACACCGGCGAGACAAGAAACAACTGAGCCAGCCACTGGGGCTGTGGCTCGAGGGAGAACAGCGGCAAGGGGCCGTGGTAGAGGTCGTGGGAGGATGTCCTCTAGGGTAAGAGGACGAACACCTAGCCCATCTGATACTAGGGCAGTGACTCCTCCACCGATTGAGGAGGTAATAAGAGAAGGGGAGGATGGGGAAAATGAACAAGTGCAGAATGAGGGATTGCCACCCCAACCTACCCTAGAGATGATCAATCAGGTTCTCGCCTATCTCAGTGGTTTGTCTGATCAAGGTCAGGCACCTCCAGTGTTTTCTGCGCCAATACCTCCGGTTTCAGAAGTACAACATGCGGCTACTAGGGCTCTTCGTATCGATGCCTCATTGGACATAGGCACATTTCCACGTCTGACTACTGAGCCTATAATGACAAATGATCAGCATGAACTTTTCAGTAAGTTCTTGAAATTGAAACCTCCGGTCTTCAAGGGTGCTGAATCGGAGGATGCTTATGATTTTCTGGTTGACTGTCACGAGCTACTACACAAGATGGGTATAATAGAACGGTTTGGTGTGGAGTTTGTGACTTATCAGTTTCAAGGGAACGCCAAAATGTGGTGGCGGTCACATATTGAGTGTCAACCAACAGAGGCACCACCTATGACTTGGGCCTCGTTCTCTAGCTTGTTTATGGAGAAGTATATCCCCCGAACGTTGAGGGATAGGAAAAGGGATAAGTTCTTGATCCTAGAACAAGGTAGGATGTCGGTCAATGCATATGAGGCTAAGTTTCGTGCATTATCCCGGTGTGCCAACAACCTGTGTTTCAGTCTACAAGAGCGAATTCGCCGGTTTGTGAAGGGGTTGAGGTCAGAATTGCGGATTTCGGCCTTACAGATAGCGGCAACGGCAAAATCCTTCCAAGAGGTGGTAGACTTTGTGATAGAAGTGGAAGGGGTGAAGCCAGACGACTTCCCTAAAACATCGACATCAAAAAGGGTTCGAAAGGGAGGTGAGTTTAATGGTTCTTACACTAGAGGACAGGGTTTGGGAAGTTACTCAGTTCGACCAATTCAGTCTTCACTACAGTCTGTAGTTGGGGGACCACCTCAGACCGGTCAACACTTCTCCGAGGGGCCTATTATTGACTCCAGAGAATGTTATGGATGTGGGGGGATTGGACATATTAGGAAAAATTGTCCCAGACAAAGTTATAGACCCCCAATAGCTAGAGGTAGAGGTGGTCATGGTAGAGGCCGTTATTCTGGAGGACGTGGTGGTCGAGGTAATGGTGGTCACCAAAACGGCAGAGGTAATGGGAAAACTGGGGACACAACATCACACCATGGTAGGGGCAACAGACAGACGAATGATAGGGCCCATTGTTATGCTTTCCCTGGGCGGTCTGAAGCAGAGGCATCTGATGCTGTCATCACAGGTAATCTTCTGGTTTGTGATTGCATGGCTTCTGTATTGTTTGATCCCGAATCCACATTTTCTTATGTATCTTCCGCATTTGCTAATGGTCTTAATTTACATTGTGAATCGCTTGATATGCCTATTCGTGTCTCTACTCCGGTGGGTGAGTCTGTGGTAGTTAAAAAGGTATAGAGGTCTTGTTTGGTGAACTTTTTGGGGAGCAACACTTATGTAGATTTGGTTATCTTAGAAATGGATGATTTTGATGTAATTCTGGGTATGACTTGGCTTTCTCCGCAATTTGCGATTTTGGATTGTAACGCTAAAACGGTAACGTTAGCCATGCCTGGGACAGACCCGTTAGTGTGGGAGGGTGACTACACTTCCAATCTGGTCCGCATCGTCTCCTTTCTTCGTGCTAAGAAAATGATTAGTAAAGGGTGTTTAGCTTTCTTGGCACATCTCAAGGATGACACTACCCAAGTACCTTCGATTGAGTCGGTTTCGGTACTCCGTGAGTTTTTGGATGTGTTCTCTGTAGATCTTCCTGGTATGCCACCAGATAGGGATATTGACTTCTGTATCGATCTTGAACTGGGTACTCGCCCCATTTCTATACCCCCTTATAGAATGGCTCCCGCAGAGTTAAGAGAGTTAAAGGCACAACTTCAAGAGTTATTGAACAAAGGCTTTATTAGACCAAGCGCATCTCCTTGGGGTGCTCCAGTTTTGTTTGTAAAGAAGAAGGATGGGAGTTTTCAAATGTGTATAGACTACAGACAACTAAACAAGGTAACCATAAAGAACAAGTATCCCCTTCCTCGCATTGATGACTTGTTCGATCAGTTACAAGGTGCTTGTGTCTTCTCTAAGATTGACTTGAGATCCGGTTATCATCAATTGAAAATACGGGCAACGGATGTGCCAAAGACTGCTTTTCGAACGAGGTATGGGCATTACGAATTTGTAGTGATGTCTTTTAGTCTTACGAATGCCCCTGCTGCGTTCATGAGCTTGATGAACGGGATTTTTAAGCAATATTTGGACCTCTTCGTGATTGTATTTATTGATGATATATTGGTATACTCAAAGAGCAAGAAGGAACATGAAGAGCATTTGAGAATGGTATTGGAAATGTTGAGGGAGAAAAAGCTTTATGCCAAGTTCTTTAAGTGTGAGTTTTTGCTAGATGCAGTTTCCTTCTTGGGGCACGTGGTTTCTAAGGATGGAGTGATGGTGGATCCTTCTAAGATTGAGACAGTGAAGAATTGGGTAAGACCTACTAATGTGTCAGAAATAAGGAGCTTTGTTGGGTTAGCTAGCTACTACCGTCGATTTGTCAAGGGATTCTCTTCTATTGCTTCCCAATTGACGAACTTGACTAAGCAGAATGTTCCATTTGTATGGTCGGACGAATGTGAGGAAAGCTTTCAAAAGCTCAAGACTTTGTTGACTACCGCACCTATCCTTACCTTGCCAGTAGAGGGTAAGAACTTCATTGTTTATTGTGATGCATACTATTCTGGTTTGTGTGCAGTGCTAATGCAAGAGAGGAATGTGATTGCTTATGCTTCAAGACAATTAAAGGTGCATGAACGTAACTATCCAACTCATGATTTGGAATTGGCTGCAGTAGTGTTTGCATTAAAGCAATGGAGACACTACTTATATGGGGTTAAGTGTGAGATCTATACGGATCATCGTAGCCTACAGTATGTCTTTACTCAGAAAGATTTGAACTTGAGGCAACGGAGATGGATGGAGCTACTAAAGGACTACGATATCACTATCTTGTATCATCCGGGTAAAGCGAATGTTGTAGCGGATGCTTTAAGTAGAAAGGCGGGAAGCATGGGAAGTCTAGCTCACTTGCAAGCTTCTAGACGCCCATTGGCTAGAGAGGTTCAGACTCTAGCTAATGACTTGATGAGATTAGAAGTAAATGAGAAGGGAGGACTGTTGGCTTCTGTGGAGTCAAGATCTTCTTTTCTTGACAAAATTAAGGGAAAACAGTTTGATGATGAGAAACTAAGGCGAATCCAAGATAAAGTATTGCGAGGGGAGGCTAAGGAAGCACAAATCGATGAGGAAGGTGTTTTGAGAATCAAGGGAAGGGTATGTGTACCCCGCGTCGATGATTTGATCAACACTATTTTGACAGAGGCTCATAGTTCACGGTATTCTATACATCCGGGCGCAACCAAGATGTATCGTGACCTAAAGAAACACTTTTGGTGGAGTAGAATGAAGCGTGATATTGTTGAATTTATTGCCAAGTGTCCAAACTGTCAACATGTAAAGTATGAACACCAAAGGCCCGGAGGAACACTTCAGAGAATGCCCATTCCGGAATGGAAATGGGAGAGGATCGCAATGGACTTCGTGGTTGGTCTTCCAAAAATGATGGGTAAGTATGACTCCATTTGGGTGATTGTTGATAGGTTAAGTAAATCTGCTCATTTCATTCCGGTGAAGGTGACTTACAATGCAGAAAAGTTAGCCAAAATCTATATCTCAGAAATCGTTCGATTGCATGGGGTTCCACTATCCATCATATCAGATAGAGGTACCCAGTTTACTTCTAAGTTTTGGAAAACATTGCATGCGGAATTGGGTACAAGGTTGGACCTTAGTACTGCATTCCATCCTCAGACCGATGGTCAGTCTGAGAGAACGATTCAAGTGTTGGAAGATATGCTTCGTGCATGTGTGATAGAGTTTGGAGGCCATTGGGATAGCTTCCTACCCTTAGCGGAGTTTTCATACAATAATAGCTATCACTCAAGTATTGATATGGCCCCATTTGAAGCATTGTATGTGAGGAGATGTAGGTCTCCCATTGGTTGGTTTGATGCATTCGAGGTTAGACCTTGGGGTACTGACCTTTTGAGGGATTCGATAGAAAAAGTGAAGTCTATTCAAGAAAAGCTTCTAGCGGCACAAAGTAGACAAAAAGAATATGCAGATCGAAAGGTTAGAGACTTAGAGTTCATGGAGGGTGAACAAGTCTTGTTGAAAGTTTCACCAATGAAAGGGGTGATGCGGTTTGGTAAAAGGGGTAAACTTAGCCCAAGGTATATTGGTCCATTTGAAGTACTTAAGAGAGTAGGAGAGGTGGCTTATGAGTTAGCCTTGCCTCCAGGGCTGTCCGGAGTGCATCCGGTATTCCATGTGTCTATGTTGAAAAGATATCACGGGGATGGAAATTACATTATCCGTTGGGATTCAGTTTTGCTTGATGAGAACTTGTCTTATGAGGAGGATCCTGTTGCTATTTTAGATCGAGAAGTTCGCAAGTTGAGGTCAAGAGAGATTGCATCCATCAAGGTGCAATGGAAGAATCGATCGGTTGAAGAAGCCACTTGGGAGAAGGAGGCGGATATGCGAGAAAAATACCCACATCTGTTTACAGATTCAGGTACTCCTTTTTCGCCCTTGTTTTCCTTCATGTGATCGTTCGGGGACGAACGATGGGTAAACTTGTATCTAATGTAACGACCTGTTTAGTCGTTTTGATCAGCAGATTTTATTTTTGGAAAAATAGGCTGAGGCGATGGACCCCACGACGGACCGTCATGGTCACGACGGACCGTCGCATGGTATCGTTTCAAAACACTTAGAAAATTTGAAATTGGGTACTGAAAATCGTATCTCTGAACTTTGTGACGGAATGGCAGGACGGACCATCAAAGGTGTGACGGACCATCACAGACCCTTGGTGGAAATTTGGGTCTCTGACCCTTGCGACGACCTGCACGACGGAACGTCGCAGGCACGACGGCCCGTCACAGGTTGCACAAATCCCAGGCAGAATCGGATTTCCTTACATGTTTTAAGGGACGTTTTTGACTATTCTTGCCTTAATTATAAATTTCGTGGGTTTATATTAATAACTCAAATTCTTGGGGGTTAAAAGAGGTAACCCTAATTTAATTAGTGTGGTATCATTATCATCTTTTATTCTTAATTATATACTTATTAGGGTAAAAGAAAGAGGGTTTGAATAAGAAAATAGAAAGAACAAGAAGGGAGAGAGAGAAACGATCGAGAAGAAGAGGAAAAAACACCAAGCTTCGAGGATTAACTTGCTTGATTTCAATTCTTCGGTGGAGGTAGGTTATGGTTTCATGCTTTCATAGCAAACTCTTAATAGAGAATGATATGTATTGGTAGTATTGTAAACCCTACTATATGCTTAATTGTATGTTTGCATGAATATGGTTATGTGATTGTGATAAGATAATATGATGAAAATATTGAATCCCAAATTTTGAAAAGAAATTTTAATATACATTATTAATGATGATGCCTTGGTATAGAAGAAGGCTTGATGAATTAAAGCAATGTGATTGATGATGCCTTGGTATAGAAGAAGGCTTGATGAATTAAAGTAATGGGATTGATGATGCCTTGGAATAGAGAAGGCTTGATGATTTACAGAATGATATTAGTGGATCGGAGTGTCACGTTCCGACACATAGTATTAGTGGATCGGAGTGTCACGTTCCGACACATAGTATTAGTGGATCGGAGTGTCACGTACCCAACACATGTAGGGGATCGGAGTTTCACGTTCCGACACATGTAGGGGATCGGAGTGTCACGTACCGACACATGTAGGGGATCGGAGTGTCACGTTCCGACACATGTAGGGGATCGGAGTGTCACATACCGACACATAGTAGTAGGGGATCGGAGTGTCACGTACCAACACAAGAGGAAGAAAGATAATGAATCTTGAAAGATGTTAATATACTCAAATCTAATGAATATAATTCCTAAATGAGTATGGTTTTGAGGCTTGAGCCCTCATTGATGAACTTGATGGTACTTATTGATGATTATAGTACTTGTTGTTGTTACATGTTGAGTTTTATAGTTGATTTACGATAATATTTGATATATACTGTTCCCTATTTTGAGTTGGCCGATGATATCTACTCAGTACCCGAGGTTTGTAATGACCCCTACTTTTATGTTTTTCTTCTTGTTATTTGTGGAGTGCAGCAAACGTGCCGTCATCTTCGACTCAACAGTAACTCAAGCCAGTCTTCGTCACACCGGATCTTCAGGGTGAGCTAACGCTTCTAGCTTGGACTGGATCTTCTCCTTCATTTCTTGATGCCTTGAACTCCCGGCATGGACTAGCTTCTTATGTATTTTTAGCTTCTTAGAAACTCTTAGAATTAGTAGTTTAAAGTAGATGTTCTTGTGATGATGACTTCCAGGTTTTGGGAATAATAGATGTTGAATATTGATAGTTATTGAATTGGTTTTTATTAATGAGTTTAAGTCTTCCGCATTACTTTCTTTTGATATTATATTGAAATGTTAAGGTTAGATTGGTTGGTTCGCTCACATAGGAGGGTAAGTGTGGGTGCCAGTCGCGGCCTGGATTTGGGTCGTGACAACAACGCGTTGTTCACAGCTAACATGGGTTTACCAGGAACACCGGACTAAGTCAAGATCTTCCTATCCCCGGACTACATTACTTTGACGTAAAATACATCGGAACATTCCTTTACTTATCATGTAGTAATTGTTCAAGTTTTTGTTAGCCCAACACAAAGTTTTTAGCCTATCATTTAGACTTTAAAATATTAAAAATATTTAAATTAATAATAAAAGAGAGAAAAAGAATACCTTAATTAGAGTAGAATCTCAACAATAAATCCTAAGTAGAAACAACAACAATTTTATTTATATGGTAGTGGAAATACAAGAGTAGCAATACAAGAGAGGTTAACCAAAGTCTGCCCTCTACCTTCTACTAAAAGATCCTTATATAGAGTGGACCTGAAGAAAAGTCTAACATTTATGACGTAAGTGCTTACGTCATGTTACATTATTGAATAGACATTAGGGTCCTAACTTTATAAAAGCTTACAATTATCTTAACTTTTGTAAAAGTTAGAGTCTTATCAACTAGTCTTTTCTAGTCTTCTTCCCCTTTAGCGTGTCTGAATTAGAAGATTCTTCTATCTGATTCTTGAACTTTTGAAGAAGTGTTTCAATGTCCATCTCTTTTGTGCTATGAACGCTTTCGTATTCTCCAGCTATAAAGGTGTCTACTTCTTCATTTGAGGTAGCCATAGATATATTATTCAAAAATTTCATGCCCATATTTTTTATTAGATCTTTTTTGACTTTTTCCATGTATGAAATAAGAAGTTTCGATTTTGAGATGGCTCCTTACTTCATCTGTAGCCTTCTGGTTATTTATTTGAAAGGACTGATATCATCTCGACCTTGTATGACTTATGATTAACATTTGTTGATCTCGATAGAGTCTTTAATGGAGTTTATAATCTCCTCTCCATTTCATTGTCTACGGAACAGAGAATTATATGAAAAATTACATCAATGGCATTTCTTTAAAAATGATATCATCTTTTTGTAATTTTATCAATTTGGGTGATACGTCAACCCATTTAACATATAATATTTTGTATTCCTCTGGCAGTATATTTATAGATGGACCATATAAAATCCACCATTGGAAAAATCAATTTGGTATATACTGCTTATAAACGTGAGAGCATATTTTTATAAACTAGAATGTTTTCTACTAGAGTTTTCATATAACAAGGTATTATTAAAGCTTTCAATATAATCCCAGTAATAAAACTTGAGTGCAATTTTTTGTTATGGATGGGTGCATTCTCTTTCTTTCATCGTGCTTATTCCCCATTCTTCTAGGGCGAATATCATTTTTATAATGAATTTTGAAAAGTTATAAGCCTTTTTAGTATTGGCTAGGTAAAAGTGCTCAAATTCAGCTGACCCAGTAGATGTAACGACCTGTTTAGTCATTTTGAGCATCAGATTTTATTCTGGAAAAATAGGCTGAGACGACGGAACCCACGGCGGAACGTCATGGGCACGACGGACCGTCGAGGGTGTCTCGTCCCAAAACACTTAGAAATTCTAAAATTTGGGTACTGAAAATCGACTCTCTGAGAGTTAAAATCCCAACTTCAAGAGTTGTTAAACAAAGGCTTTATTAGACCAAGTGCATCTCTTTGGGGTGCTCCTGTTTTGATTGTGAAGAAGAAGGATGGGAGTTTTCAAATGTGTATAGACTATAGACAACTAAACAAAGGTAACCATAAAGAACAAGTATCCTCTTCCCCGCATTGATGACTTGTTCGATCAGTTACAAGGTGCTTGTGTCTTCTCTAAGATTGACTTGAGATCCGGTTATCATCAATTGAAAATACGGGCAACGGATGTGCCAAAGACTGCTTTTCGAACGAGGTATGGGCATTACGAATTTGTAGTGATGTCTTTTGGTCTTACGAATGCCCCTGCTGCATTCATGAACTTGATGAACGGGATTTTTAAGCCATATTTGGACCTCTTCGTGATCGTATTTATTGATGATATATTGGTATAATCAAAGAGCAAGAAGGAACATGAAGAGCATTTGAGAATGGTATTGGAAATGTTGAGGGAGAAAAAGCTTTATGCCAAGTTCTCTAAGTGTGATTTTTTGCTAGATGCAGTGTCTTTCTTGGGTCACGTGGTTTCTAAGGATGGAGTGATGGTGGATCCTTCTAAGATTAAGATAGTGAGGAATTGGGTAAGACCCACTAACGTGTCAGAAATAAGGAGCTTTGTTGGGTTAGATAGCTACTACCGCCGATTTGTCAAGGGATTCTCTTATATTGCTTCCCAATTGATGAACTTGACTAAGCAGAATGTTACATTTGTATGGTCGGACGAATGTGAGGAAAGCTTTCAGAAGCTCAAGACTTTGTTGACTACCGCACCTATCCTTACCTTGCCAGTAGAGGGTAAGAACTTCATTGTTTATTGTGATGCATCCTATTCTGGTTAGGGTGCAGTACTAATGCAAGAGAAGAGTGTGATTGCTTATGCTTCAAGGCAACTAAAGGTGCATGAACGTAACTATTCGACCCACGATTTGGAATTTGCTGCGGTGGTGTTTGCATTAAAGTAATGGAGACACTATTTATATGCGGTTAAGTGTGAGATCTATACGGATCATCGTAGCCTACAGTATGTCTTTACTCAGAAAGATTTGAACTTGAGACACAGGAGATGGATGGAACTACTGGAGGACTACGACATCACTATTTTGTATCATCCGGGGAAGGCGAATGTTGTAGCGGATGCTTTAAGTAGAAAGGTGGGAAGCATGGGAAGTCTAGCTCACTTGCAAGCTTCTAGACGCCCTTTGTCTAGAGAGGTTCAGACTCTAGCTAATAACTTGATGAGATTAGAAGTAAATGAGAAGGGAGGATTGCTGGCTAGTGTGGAGTCAAGATCTTCTTTTCTTGACAAAATTAAGGGAAAACAGTTTGATGATGAGAAACTAAGAAGAATCCAAGATAAGGTATTGCGAGGAGAGGCTAAGGAAGCACAAATCGATGAGGAAG